GGGGGGGGGGGGGGGGGGGGGGGGGCAGGGTCGTGCTTACCGTCGTTTGATGTCCACAGTCCGGTCACGTGCCACATGGTTGTTGTTCTGCTCACAGCTGGGTGAGGTTATTTTGTAGCACCAAAGGTTTCACGCAACACTCCGCAATGAAGGCCTGCCCTTCCCTCTGCCACGACATGAAGAACTCGTGCCACGTTGCTAAACTTGCCGTGGGGTAAACCCTAAGTCTCTGATCTTCCACAATATACCCTAAAAGTTTAAGTCCGGAAATGCGCGTTTCCTCGCCCCCCAGCCGTGGTTTCCTCCGTGATGTTTATCGGGAAAACACAAGGCAAGCAAAATTAAGAAGGCTAACAAGGCATGATTGGGTACCCAGTCCATTCATACCCGCACCCCTGTCTCCACGGTTCTACCGTTGCCGGCCGCTGCAGGTGTTCTCAGACTGGGTAACGCAGACAATACGCCTCCGGCGCGGCCAGGCGTATGCCGAGGTTTGACTGGGCGGTGGGGCCTGTCCCCGTGGGCTCTGATTCGTCTTTCGATTCTGCCATAGACGCCGCAGGCAAGCCGATCAATCCGCCCCAGGGGGGGGGGGGGGGAGGATGTCCAGTATATCAAATTGGGTGCCTGTTTCGTGGGCGTGTGCAGTATGTACACAACGCCAGCTCGCGCTCAGAGCGTGGATAGAAACGACTCGAGGAGTGTTTTGGTTCCAATACCATGTGCAACGATTGCGGAGACCTTTAGTAGCCATCGTCTCTGAAATGTCTTTTTTTTTATTCTACCAGGTACTACTGCTGTAAGTTATTCGTCTTCGGCAGACGTCGGGAAGATGCGGCCCTTTGTAGAGGCCATCTCCAAATCAAGCCAGATTGCTCCGAATTACTTTGATCGGGGTACAACAAGCTACCTCCCGCCCTTGTTTTCTGTCACACTTACTCCCACCTACTCGCCGTATTTTTTGTGTTTTCCTACCGAACCCCAAGGTGCCGCGGGCAAGGAAGTGATCTCTCGCTTCTGGGCGCCGTCGCTAGCCTCCAAGGGCACCTTCTACACGGACTCGAACGGGCGAGAGTTCCAGAGGCGTGTCCGCAACGAGCGGCCGACTTGGGACCTCGACGTCACCCAGCCGGTGGCGGGGAACTACTACCCGGCAACCGCGGCCGTTTTCTTGCGGGACGAAGAAGGCGATGACGAGGGCGACGAGGATGCGATGCAGGTAGGCGTGGGTGAAGGGCGCTGGTTTCGTGTTAAAACGAGGATGGGATGCAGGTGGGTGAGGGTTAAGGGTGCTGGTTTCATTTTAGAACGAGGATGAGATGCAGGTAGGTGAGGGTCAACGGCGCTGGTTTCGTGTTAAAACGAGGATGGGATGCAGGTAGGCGTGGGTGAAGGGCGCTGGTTTCGTGTTAGAACGAGGATGAGATGCAGGTAGGTGAGGGTCAAGGGCGCTGGTTTAATAAGGTCAAGGGGTAGGGGTGTGCCTGTAGCGTGCAGAGGATGGGTGTTGTTTCGGTCGTGCGAGTTAGTTACAACAGTAGGTGGCCCGGAAGAGTGGCATGTAGGGGCAAGAAGAGAATATGGCACTATTCAGGGCAGTGCCGCTATTCGATATAACGGATTCATGTACATGTTGAGATTGCGACAAAGAGATTTTGGTACCACTGTATCGGCAGTTACATTATTACGTATATTCAAGTTGCTAAAACTATATCGGGTCACCTGGTGTAGGGTTGTGAGTGTCGGGCAAAGGCGCCGGGGTTGGTCCGCGGTGCATGAAACTGGGTGGTAGTTTGGATTTTTCGGAAGGGGAGGGAGGAGGTGGCGAATGACACAGCATGGTTTTCGACTTCATTTTCGTTTCGAGGGGGCTCCAGAGTATCATCGCCGCTTCGAGGGTGAAGAGTCCTGGATACCTGACGATCTTGACCACGTTGGTGCTGTTGATGTTTTTTTGCACGGTCTACGCACTTTCCCGTCTGTTCTCAGAGCATTTGAGAAGCCATATTCCTCCGAGTGATCGGAATAGCAGTCACTTACGGCCGTCTTTGCCAATGGGCACCCATCTACATCTACCCCCATATCACTCCTCACCCTTCCTTCCGCTGCCGCCACCACACCGCCGTCGTCATTCTCGTCGTCACCGCGGTATCGAACCATGCCATCACGAACCAATCAGCTGTCCGTCTTGACGGACCGTGCTGAAGGGGTCTCTTCTCTCGCAGACGGAGAGCTGGAGCTCATGGCGCACCGGCGGCTTCTAACGGACGACCAGCGGGGCGTTGGCGAAGCCCTTAATGAGACAACTGGCGGTGAGCGAGAGGCCATCATTTCAACGGCTTCTTCCCGGAGTGTTTTGCTTGGCAAATGTGTAGCGGAGGAGGCTAACATTTCGGGAAATGTTTTGCAAGAAGGGGGTGGAAATAGCTTTTGTTTTTTCGCCCCAGATGTATGTTCGGGATGTGCAAAGTCCGGGGTATCACTGGATCATGGACGCCAACGTCCAGAGCCCCGCCACCCCTTTACCTTGCCCACTGCTCGGAGCCCGCGAAAAGCAAGGTAGTGTCTAGCAGTAGTCTACACACGAGGTGCGATCTATTGTGCGCCCGCCCCCCCTCACACTCGAAGACGATGAATCTGTTCAAGAAACATATGCAAGAATGAAACTGCTCTGTTTTCTGGACCCTGCCACAAACTTTGTGAGCCCTGTGTACCACGGTGATGTCGCGTCTCTCGGACGTCTGCACAGCTGCTTTGGTTTTCGTGAGTAGATTGTCAACATCAACTCCGCATGCGCCTGCACACACTCTGTGCGTTTGTTATGCGTTTAACAGCAATATTAGCAACAGTTCCATCCGTACCACTGGGACCCTTGATGCCTGAAGGTATGAGCCACTTCCCGGACTGGAAGCGTGAGGGAGACGGCCAGGTGTTCCGAGGGACGCACTACCTAGTGATTTCCAAGAAGGGGGACGGGATGAAGGCCGTCCGCTCCCTCATGGACGAGGCAAGTTCACCGATACGCGGTGGTCCTCAAGAAAGGTTATTCCTGCATCGCTCTCCCCCCCCCCTGTACTGGGGAGTAGGAAGTGGTTTGAACAGGCGGGAAGGGATATCGTTAGGATAGACAAACTAGGGAAGACATTTTTGAGCCACCTTTGGCAAAGTAGGAAGGAACGATTGGCCATCGGTGATCCGTCCTGTGGGAACAATGCTCCGCCCTCTCGAGGACGCGTGGTCAATGGTCCAACCGCTAAGGCATGCAAAACATAAGAGTACGCCCCCCCCCCCCTTTTCCCGGCCGGCTCCCTCTCTCTCTCTCTCGCCCTGGCTCTCTCTGGCCCCCCTCCCCCCCCCGCCCCCCCCGGTTTTTTCCCCCCGGGGTTTGGTTTTCTGTGCCTGGGCCCCCCGCTTTTAAACAAGCCCCCCCCTCCCCGGTTTCCGCTCGGACATGGGTTTTCT